ACACCACATAATACAGATGAAACCATGCCATATCCCCAGTATGCTCCCAGTTAGCTGTAAAGCACAAAGCAGAAGCATTTCCAGCCAAAAGCTATTTACTGCATGTTTATTGCCTCTTTTCATTGTTTGGACTTCTGAGAAAGTGTTTAGATGGGACTTGGAAAAAACAGATATCAAGATTCTCCCTTTCCACTCCCATTCTCACTCTCCTTTGCCCACAAACTATGTGCAAAGACAGAYTACTGAGCAAAGGAGCCTCCTGTTCAGGCTCTAGCAGCACACCTCGATGTATCAGTAGAAATTGTTTTTGTTCCCAGTTTCTGATTAATCCCAAGTTTTAAATCGGAGGCTGTATTACCCAAACCAAATAATCTGGCTGCCCTTTCAAAATGTTCCCATTTGTGCTCTCTACACAAACAAGTTAATTTTCTTCAGAGMCCTAAGTTTATGTTAAAGGAATAGCATTGTAAGTCCATTTAGCACAGCTGCAATGGACTGAGTCCAGAGGGAGCATCTGAGGAGAAAAGGAGTGTTTCTGTAGAAAAGGAGGCCGTGTCAGCCACTGGCCAGAAGAAATCAACAGGGTGAATAGGGACTTGCCTTCCCTCAGGTCAGAGAGAAAAAAGTAAGTCCTAAATGCCCCCTAAATGAAAGAAAAAGATTGCTGAAGATGTTAAAGAGGTTGTCTTTGGCATGTTGAAGTCTTGACAAAACATCCCAGCGCCCCACAACAGATAGGGAAGACTCCTCATGGAAGTGGCTTTTGGAGACTGTCATGGCCTAATCAAACACATAAAAGTTGTTCCCTCTGTCTGAGTGCCAGAGTTGTGAGTGTCCTGAGCCTGCCCTCAGCCTCTTTTGTCTCCACATCCACCACTGAATTAGCTCCCATCATTCTAATTAACCAAATTACACAGAGGGAGGACCCTCCACAAAGATAACTCAGGAGAACAGTATAGGACCTGCCCTCCACAGGGACATGGAATGAGACTCTCAGGTTACCCTGGTATAAGGAACAAGTCACCCTCAGTGCAGCATGACCAGTGCCTACTGAGCTGTGTGTCAGGCTCTGCACATCTCTGGAGAGCTTCATCCCAATCAGTGCAGCAGGGATTCAACACAGGCTTTAACAGCACCACTTCCTGCATCTTGATTTGGGCCTCCCTGGGCAGATTTGTAGTGAACAGCCTTCCTCTTTGGGTTGTCATCCTCAGGATAACACACTGCTTATGCACCTGAGGAACTGGAGGCCTCAGAGGGAGGTTTACCACACAGCACCAGCATTAAATGGGGTACAACATTCTGGGGCTTTGTCTAGCAAAGAGCAAAATTAAGATGTAGGCATAAGTATGAAGTGACACCAAAACTGATTCCATTGCTCAAAACAATTCTGTTGTGGTAAGCAATATTTGAATTCAATCTGGTAGGCAACTGTTGAGACAATGAGGTACACGCTTGGCTGTTGAGGCTATTTCAATGTTCATAAATAATGTGGCACAATTTAAGAGAATCTATGGGGTGAAACAAGTCATGCACAGACCCAAAATTCACATATGCATTTTGAGTGGTTTTGTTTCAAACGAGCCCTTGTTTGGTCTCACAGATAAAAGCTAACCAGTGAACGACAAAGCAGGTCTGACCTGAACCAAATCTTTAAAATGGATGCAGGCTTTKGTTGCCTGCCATGACAGAGCTGAGCTGTACAACACTCATTAACCAGTTTAGAAGATTTGGCAGAGAAGAGGCTTTTCACAGGAATCACAGAAGGCCAGCAAAGTCTCAGATACCATAGCCTTGTTACTACAGAACTCCTCCTGGAATAAGGCTTTCCATGAAACCCTGCAGTCATTTCCAACAGCTGCACCCAAGGGAAGGGCAACTTCCCATTCAAGAGCGCCTGATCTTCACCACCAATCTTCTCACTCCCCCCTAGCAGCCAGCTCGCCTCCTCTTCTCCCAATACCAGCTCCAAAAGGCAATGCTTCACGCAYTGGAACTTGAGCCAACTAGAAAAAGAAAACCTACCCATTGCCAAGTTTAATCCTACACAGTTCCAGCCAGTTTCTCACGTTCTGCKGCATTCACCTTGGAAGAGGCGTTTTCCTCTTTTCTTAACAATGTCAGGATTTGAGGAGTGAGGAGAACCTAGTGACATTAACTCTGAATAGTGATACCCTTTGTAACAAAAGTGCTAAAGAGTGGGCCTAGTGAAAAAGGCATTGTTATGACTTGGCTATAAATCAAAGTTCCTGAATCACCAGTTTTTAATCACCCTGCTTGCTTTAGGATTTGCTGTGACGAGAGAAGTGAATTCAACAGAGTAGAAAAAAATTCTGACATATCAAGTATTGTTTTCAGATTAATGCTTAGAGCAACTGACAACAAAGGTGTATGGGGAGGGGTTGTTTGTTTCCCTTGAAGAATTACATTCTGCTCGTAGGAAAGCATCCAACTGGGAAAAGGAAACAGAAGAAAATATTTTATATATATAGCTCACAAATAAGCTCCAGGCTCTGAGAGCATCTCTTCATTTTTGAAGGAATACCTGGATTTTACAAGAAAATTAAAAAGATCAAGGAAAAAAAAAATCTTATGTTATATCTCAAAGCTAAAGAAAAGTACTTCAGCATCACCATTATCTTTCTTTTGTTAAAATTAATACTGAGCTTGAATAACTGGTTGCAGGACTCCATGTATGAAACAAAAGCAAAGAGAAAGAAGTGAACAWGAGTTTTTATGTGCATTTCAAATTTTACTTTGAATTATGTTAAAACAAAATGGCAATTTAATTATAAGACATGACTTACATCCACCTATACTATCCATCTAAGGAACTAATTATAAGGCAACTCCAATTAATTTTTTTTAATCAAACTTATAATGAAAAGATAGAATCAGAATCAAAAACAACCACAGCTTCCTAAAATCTGGTACCCAAATATGTGTGCATGTAAACACATGAGCTTTATGCTAGTTAGGTTTGCTTTTTGCTCTAGAAAGAAGTGTCCATGAGCAACATCTCTTTCAAAATAAATCTTTCCATCACAATTCGACTATGTTAGCAGAGAATAATGTATCAAGAAAATAAAAACTTTTGTAGGCCAAAAACAATTGGAAAGAGGACAGAACTGCACTGACTGAATTTGAGAAGGGGTAAAACAGGAAAGAAGGAAGAGCTTCCTGCTAAGACAGGTATGAGCAGGAATAGCAGATGCTAATCAGTGGGGGTGGGAAATTGCAGGGCAGTGTTGAGCCTCCCAGAAGAAATGGAAAGGAAATGGAGAAAAGAAGTGCTCCCATCAT